ATTCTTTTTCAACATCCTAAATTAAAATTGGTAGGAAACATGAAGACTTTCTTTGCCTAGCAATAAATAGTACCTCCAACATATCCCAATAAACTGATGTTATTTCTGTTGTTTCCTAACTCCAAATTTAGAAAGAAAATTTGACAGAAGGATTGAGACCTAATAGTTTTGTTAAGGCAAGTTTGATGTCTTTATTTCTCAGACCATAAATAATTGGGTTCAGTAGGGAGGGAATGATAGAATATATAACAGTAAATAACAAATCCAGATGTGGCTCAATATTAAAATTTGGCTTCAAATAAGCAAACGTTGTAGTTAACACAAATATGCAAAATACAATGAGATGTGGAAAGCAAGTTGAGAATACTTTTTTTCTTCCATGAACTGAGGGCATTCTCAACACTATAATCAAAATCTTCATATAAGAGATAATGACAAAAATAAAGAAAACTAAAGCTATACTACAACTTAATAAAATAATTACAATTTCATCAAAATACCCGTTGGAGCAGGAAAGGGCAAGCAAATGTGGTATTTCACAGAAAAATTGATTGACAACATTAGAACAGAAGGAATTTGCAAATGTGCCTGCAGTGTGTAATACTGCATAGAGAAGACCACATATCCATACACTAGCAAATATTTGCTTGCAGGCTGTCCTGCTCATGACCATCTCATAATGTAAAGGTTTGCAAATGGCAACATAACGATCATATGCCATGACCGTGAGCAAAGAAAAATCAGATTCAATGAAAAAGATAAGGAAGAGGACTTGAGCAACACATCCAGAATAAGAAATGTACCTAGTATTCTTGAGAGAATTGATCATGGATTTAGGGATTATGACTGAAACTTGGCCAATGTCCTGTATGGCCAAGTTCATCAGAAAGAAGTACATGGGAGTATGCAAGTGATAGTCAAAAATTACTGCAGAGATTATAAGAATATTTCCCAATACTATTCCCAAATATAGTATCAGGAACAAAGCAAAGTGTAGTATCTGAAGTTCTGAATTTGTTGCAAATTCAAGAAGGAGAAATCCAGAGACTGTTTGGTTACTCATTGCTTCATGAGATATTTTCTGTTCCTGGGAAGAAATGAAATGAAACATTTTTGCAATTATAATCTTA